GGTGCTTATATACAGTACCGGGATAGAGGGCACATTGATGTAGTGGAGAGTGTCATGAGACAAATATCACCAAGGGCAATTAAGTGGGGTATAAAAGACTTGAGCAAGCAAGAAGAAATCAGAACAATGCTTAGATGGGCAAAGGAAGAAACCCTGGCAGCCGAATAATAGCTGTAGTGTGAGAAGAGGCAAGTATTATTGGAAATACATTTTTGATTTAAGAAAATGTTCACTTTAAATAATTGTAAATGTCTGTTACAGTTTGCAGTAATTCTAGAAAATAAAAAATAAATATTTTTGATTTATTTCATATTTTTTAACTTTTCATTTTACCAAATGTTGATGATTTCACTGCAGTTAGTGTTAGGTTAGAAAAAATGAGATAAAGTATAAAAATAACGTTTTACTTGAAAGAAACTTTTGATATTCCTTTAGGAGGTTCTACAGGTTATGCAAGTTAAATATGAAAACAGTAAGATGAAAGGTATTTGTAGTTTTAGTATGAAAATTGCCTTTCACTCAGGCTTACTCTGTAAAGGCTTCATAAATTCACAGACAAATTTTTAGTAAAAATTCTTTATTAGTAATGTACAACACACTAGTAATATTTATTAAAAGCTTTCCAAATTTTGTGAAGATACACTTGTGTATTCAGTGTTATAGTATATATAGTTATATGGTGGTAACAAGATCTGCCAAATTGCCTGACCCATTTGTGTAGGACTAATAAAGACACAAGGTTTAGATAAATTCCTCCAGAGCTTTATAAGATGGGATAAGTTTCACTGGTTACCTGAACAAACTTATATCTCAGCAAATTGAAAAGGCAAGAGGTTCAAATTTCATATTCCAGCCTGTAAATATCCATACTTTGTGTTTCTAGTTGGTTGAACACGCTGAAAGCTGTATAAAAGAAGAGAATGAAAATTGAAAAGGATAATTCAAAATGGAGATACATCATGTGATGTAGAGAAGTGAAAATTGAGAATTTATTTGAACATTTCCCTTTGAAATTAAGAAGTTAGAACTTAGATAATATAAAACTTTGAATTATGAACAACATTTTTATACCATTATTATTGACATACAATCATAATAAAGCTGCTTAATTAAATTTGGAATGAAACTCTAAATGGTCATGATGCACATAGTTTTAAATGAGGAAAAAGTTAAGTTTTTGGAAGATCTATATGTCGAAGGTTTTAGTGGCCTATTTATGGTACACTAAAATAAGTTACCCATGTGTTTGCACAATATATATATATATCTGTGTGTGTGTGTACTTTTAACTTACACCCCTCAAACCATAGCTTTTCTTAATGTATGTAAATGTACTGTTATGTTACTCAGTTGCTGTAAATATAATTTCATTTAACCAGTGCAATCCTATTGAACCTATTAACCCTTCTAATATGGGTGGGTGGGTTCCACCCAGCCCGTATTCCCAGTAATCATAAACTAGTTATACTGTAACTTTTTAAAATGTACATGTATCTTCACAAAAGTTTGCAGATTATCAGTAAACATTACAAGGCATTTGTACACAAAGTATCAGATTTTTTAATTGAGTTTTAATATTTTTAGTCAATTATTTGCTCGTGCATTTTTTATTTTTGAATGTTAACTGTTGAACATGCGAAGTAGTTTTGATTTTAAGATTAAAAATATATTTTATGCATCAGAAAATTGTCAAATTTCACACAAGAAGTCTATAACCTCCTAATATCCTCTAGATAATTATCAAACATTTTTTTAGAAATATTTTTTATATTTTATTTGTTATTTTCATTATTCTATCTCTGTATGGATTAGGTTGATTCAACCAACCTCATAACCACCATAGAAAAATAGGAAATAGATATATATTACACTTTTTTCGTTTTAGAATTGCTACAAATTATAATACAAAACCACAAATGTTTAGTTTAAACCTCATAACATTTTACATACATAAAAATTTTAAATTTTTATTATGTTAACCTTTTAGCAGTGTTTGACTAACATTACAGAAGTAGAATGATGCGGCACATGTGCACTCGTGTTACTATATCCAGTAATATAAAACTGGCCTTTACAAACTGACTGTCTTGGTTGTATTCCAGTTGACCAGTATTTTGTAAACTACAGTCACATTTCATTTATAATACATTATATATTTATATACATTATTACTAATTACAAATAAGTTCTTAAATTTCAGTTATTTTTCTTAAAACATAGAACAGTAAATAAAGAAGTATAAAAACAATTATCTGTTCTACTTACAAACTTTGTACTTGTTTGCTGCTTGCCGTAATTTGCTAAGCCTTATCAAGTTTCAGAAGTGAAGAATGTAAAACAAAATTTTTTTTAGGTTTTATGTATGCATTTTCAAATAACAAAAAATTATAAATGACTATATAAATCCCACAGAATTTTACTCTAATTTATTAGGCTTAGTAACTAAGCTGCATTTGGGTCTAAAAAAGTGACTTTTCAAGCTCAATAATGTCTTACTTTACCACTTGAAATCTACCATAGAAAGAAAGGGTTTCTCACATAAATACCTCACAGAGGCTCAGAAAACCACATGGGGGACATTCTGAGTTTTTGATTGGTTATTTACATGTCACAGACAGAAGTAGATGTATGTAAGCATTTTCAAAAATAGAAGAGGTAGATGGGGCCACTGTGTTTGGTTTGCTAAATATAGTCATATCTCAGTAAACAGAAAAGATAGGAGGTTCTAATTTTATAATCTAGCTTGTCAATATCAGTAATTTGAGCTTCTAATATGCAAGAAACTATAGACTTTGTATTTGGACATCAACAAACTTCTAATCTGAACCAATGCTGCATTCAACATACCATGTGACAAAAATTGATATTTAGGATTTTTTTTTAATATTTACTTTCAAACTAAGAAATTAACTAATGTATAATTCAAAAATTTGAATTATAATCTACAATTTGATACCAAACTTAGACATACATTCATAAAAGAATACTTCAATAAAATTTTGAATGTAAGTCTACAAACATGATGACATGGCCTTTGACCTGTGACCATAGGAAGACCCATTAGACCTGTCTTGGTAGAGTTAAGAAAACTTGTAACAATTGTTTTGATGTACTGGAATCATCAAAATTGCCTATCTGAGCTACTTTATTTCCATATAGGGAAATTTAAGGATATGGTTGTAATCAGGGGTGCATAATTTGTGATATTTATATAAAACTGATTTCCTCAGGAGTAAATAAGGTAGACCCACAGATTAACTAAGATTCAACAAAGAGATTTACTACTTAGTTTAGAAAGCAAGGATCGTAATGTTATTTCATTCTCAGTTATGCAAACTATTCAGATTTTAGGTATTACATGTAATTGCATCAGTTATCCTAAACTGTGTGATAACTGAGAAGTTCTCATCTGATATCTTCAGATATCTCTTATAGTGGAACTCTGCTCACTAGCTTGGAAAGCAAGTGTCACAAAACCTTTTTTTAGCCAGTTGATTTTACCATCAATAAACTGTCCTAACTGCAGGTTGTGAGGTGCTAATAATTCAATGTAGTACAATACTTTGTACTGTACCATATAATAACTTTATAGCAGGGAAGACTACTCTGTATAAGTTGTTGATCTTTCAACCACATCTATGTTAACCTCAGCTGTATGGATCAGGAGGTCAGCAGCAGCAGTGGCTAAACTGACTATCAATCTGTCTCTCACTTCTAACTATGGGGTTTCATGGCTAGATAAGTACTTTCAGCTCTTTCCTCTTCAACAGCTGAGTCAAGGTAGTATGAGACAGTGCTCTTGTCCTCCTCTGACTTGTCCATCTCATCATCTAATTTCTGGTCAAACCAGTTCACTAGAGACTTGTTGGTAAAGTGCTGACAGAGTTTGTTGATGTGTCCTCACTTTTGTGCACCACTTGATAGCTGTAATTCATACATTGGCGGACTGATCTGTCAGAGTACAAGATAAATACCTGTCCTGCAAGAGCTCAGCTCCTTCCATAGTGTTGATACTTTCATTTCTTACCTGTTTCATCATAGCACTTCTTCAGTTGCTCTGTACGCCATCATGACATATGTTCAGCCAGGAGTAATATATTTGAGTACAGACTGACTTCATAGCATCAAATTTGTCTGAATCAGTTCATATGGGATCATTAGACAAAATATTTTGGATTTACCATACACTTAGATATCTGTTTTATCAGGAGGGGTTTTTTTTATTTGATACATAGTATTGTATTACATGTGGTTAGACAATTGTGGTGGTTCAAGGTAAGAATTTAAAATGACTACATAGCTTTTGGCAGGAAATTTTAAAGAGTTTGAAATACTAATGTACTTAAGTAAACAGGTGCATTTTCTATGATAACTATAAAAGTATTTTTCGTACAAAATTCGATTTATACATGAAAAGTCCAAAAATGAACTACTAGATGTTTTACTTAAAACCTGGCAGCAGTTAGAACATATTTACATTTTATTCAGAGAAAACTGCTGTTCCCCCAAAGAAAAAATTAGGTCATGAAATAGGAAAAGCAGCAGCAGAGAAAAGCAAAGGTTTGTTTAGTGCAGATGACTGGCAGTGTGGAAGGTATGTTAAGTTTACTCATGTTTTTGCTTTAAGTAATTTTAAATATATAGAGTATTTTGAAAGATAGCTTAGTGCCCTTATAGTTATCCTTACTCTTTGTTGAAAACCAAGATGGTATTATTAATTATTTTTACCTATGAAACTTAATTAAATAACAAAAATAGGAGCTATAATTTTCTTCAATTTAATCCTAGGATGGCAGTGTGGGGTCACTGTGACCCCATACCACCCGTTGTTAATGACTGAAAATTTAACGTTGGCATTCTAGGGACAATTAAATTATAAAAATGCTCTACAACACCTCTGAAATGGTAACCACATTCTAATACAATGAAGATTGTATTCAAATAGTTTTCCTTAATTTCCAAACCTTTTTTTTTTATCTGTTATCCTCTGTTTTATTGTTTTTTTAATTTTGCAAAATATTAGTGTAGGGTGCATCATATGCCCCATGATTTTCAAAAGTGTCTGGGTTTCTTCTGTCTCTTCTTTTATTCCATGTTTAAAAAGAAAGAATATTGCACATTTTGGGGAAGTTTTAAAATCATGTATGTGGTCTACCAGGATACTGAATGTTTAAAGTCATAAAAAGTATACGCCTAATATAAAATGTTACCCAAAACTGAGAGCTGAAACTCTTGCATGAAGTATTTTATTCTAAGTAAAGAGATAAATTGCAACAACATTTATGCAACTAAATGAATCGTAGTAACTCATTTTTTAATGAAATAAAACTCATATTTGTCTGCATAAATTGCCATTAATGCAGTATTTCAATGAAATGATAAACATTACAACAGTTTCGCTATACACCTACACAGGTTTGGCTTCTGCTTTCAAACCTGTTCAGTCGTTTGGAGCACATTCTAGTAATGTTATTCACTTTTGGCTGATGACAAAAAATCTGAGCAGAGTTTCACCCCCTCTTCAGCACAATTGTTGATGATGTTCAGAGCTTGAAGGTTGGTTTCTGATGCTTGATATGCAATGGATTGTGGCCGATTTTCAACATTTTCTGTTAGGAACTTATGGTTGAGCTATAGAATGTGAAATGTGTACCAGGAGTCTGGCCCAACCAAATCCACAAGGGTTGTTGACAGAGTGACAGCATCTGGAAACTTGGGTTTGTCAAATCTTGTTTCAAAACATTTTTTTTTGGTATGAGCAATTCCATATCTGTCTTCATTGCCAAATGGCTGTTGACAGGAGCATGTCATTCTTCCAATGGTACTTTGTTGCTGAAGAGTGCAAGAGGCATCATCTCTGCAGTTAGGTACCAAAGATGCTGCTGAAAGGCTTGAATTTCACTCCTTGAAACCACTGGGTTGATAGCCTTGTACATCAAAAGATGATGGAACAGCTTCAGATCATGCCAGGGGGCATCATCAGTGGAACTGCAGGTCATCCACCAGGGGCTGTAGACAAGGGTGGCAAAGTTCACAAAATCCCTCGCCTTCAAGACCTGTTGTCTTTTGGTGATTGTGCCAAGAGGCAGTCGTTGAATTTGCTGCTAAAACAAGTAGATTTTAATAGAATACAGTACCTTTGCCATCCATCTAGCCTTGTGCAGTTTACCTGGTCATTTGAATATAATTGTCTGTCCATCAACTTTTCCATCTAGGAACACTGTTTGATTGTCACACATGCTGTTGTGTCGAATATCATATTGAAAATAGTCTTTGCAGTGCCATGAATCCAGCAAGTTAGCTGTCAGTTTAGTAATGATATTACCAGACTTTCTATTTGTGCCAGATTGTTATGGTGTAACACCAAGAAGCTCCATTTCATGTATATTTCGTACCACGTTCATAAGATGCCCTTCAGTTACATTTTGGTTAGACAGTGAAGACAAGAGCTTTGAATCCCACTGCAAAGTGGCAATCTTTGGAGGATCCCACTGTCATTTGCAAGATGTTGCTATACTGTGTCCAACCTGATGTCATGATCTATCAGCTGTTGCGTATGATGTTGAAACTTTAGAAGGATCACTGGCGCCTCTTCTATCAAAGCTTCTGTGAAGACAGACTATTGGGCTGAAATCAGTTTCATGCTTTTGGCCAGTGAAAAAAGTTTAAATCTATGCAAAATATCATGTGGAATGAAGGCTGTTTTGCCAGTAAGAACACTGTGGCGATGACTCCTTGGAGTACTGGTTGATGGAGCTGTAGCTGCACTCTCACTTTCACTGATGCTGGATTCATCATTGTGATGCTCCTGAAATTATTTGATGCAGAGGCCATTTCACAGTGCACCTTCTCTCACCTGTCTGCCTTAGACTGTTCATGTGCCCCTTTGCACTGGAGTTTGCCAGCTAACACGTTGTCATGGGATCCAAATGCTGCTGTACGTTCACCCTTCATTGTCTGCAGAAAGCTCAAGTCTTCTGGGTATTTGATGAGTTGCTTAGCATTGGCAGGCCATAGTGGAAATGTCTGAGCTAATTTACTTTCCATTTGTTGCACCTTCTCAAGAGAAGCTGGCATTGATTGCCATTTGATGGGTATAGCCCTGACTTTGGCATTGTCATCGAGAAGCTTAATCATCTTCTCACAGGCTCTGTGATCCAAAATCATGGGAATATTTGGTTTTTCATAAAATCTAGAACCTTGTGAGAGGACAAGTTTAGCTGACTCCCATCTGGTATGATTTTCTGCCAAACCCTCTTGTATATACCACATGAAGCAGTGCAACAGAGTAGACACTAGATAGGCTGCATAACAATGTGGACAATGACATGTACCAGATTTGATGGGTAATACAATACAACAGCATACCTAGTCTGGGCATACTCAGAATGGGTGCTTAGCATATCCAAAATGTGTCAAAAATGTACTGGAGGTGTGATAATTGTTGCTTTATTCTCTATAAAAAGATCATATTTCACAAACCATAAATTAGATGCTGAATACAGCACAGTTAAAGTTTTATAGATCTGCAATTTTGTGGAGTTTTTGTCACCAAATTGCTGTGATTTTGAAGAAAATGATGAGAATGAAAGTAAAAGTAGTCTGACTGGACATCAAACCTGAAAATTGATGTTGTCAGAATCACAATTCTGATGTCAAATCCATCTTCAAAATGCATAAATCAGTGCTTAAGGTTATGGTGATACAAATAGACCTGAAGTGGACCCCCGAAATAAGTCCAGAATTAGAAAAAAAAAAAAAGCCTAGTACTTCTGTTTTTAGCTAATGGAATATTTTAAGATTAGGGACTATGTAGTTGCTTAACATTGGGGCATTTGATGCACCCTAATTTAGTGTATATTTCCATTTCTGTATTTGATATTTATAAGTAGTCATTTTAGTATATGAAATAAGTCCTATTTTTACAGTTTATACTTGATGCGTATGTAATGAAGGACAGAACATTAATTCATGTGAAACAATGCTTACAAGTCCTATATTTCAATGCCTGCCCAACAGGTATTTTGGACTTTTAGTTATCTCTGTCTTTTTAGTTACTGCAACTTGGGTGGACTGGTATTGAAACAAAATTATATTTTATGTAAATTGCTTGTTTCTTCTTTAGATGTGGAAATGTGAATTGGGCCAGAAGGCAACAGTGCAATATGTGTAATGCACCAAAGTTTGGAGAAGTGGAAGAAAGAACAGGTATTTTTTAAAAGTATCTGGACTCAATATGGAATATTTTAAAGAAAAATTAAAGATAACAAACATCAAAATTTTAGAAGTTTTATAGGGGAATGAAAAATTCTACCCAACATCTTAATACATTAGATAAGTTATCATATAAATACAGGTAATTATTTCTTCAATCATTTTCAGTAGAATTGGTTTTGTTACTCTGTTATTGTGAATTTGCATAATTGTGTAATTTGAATATAATCATATAAAATGTATATTTTTTCTAAATATAAATCTTAAATATAATTTATTTAATTTTTCAGATTTGTTCAGTATTAGGTATAATATTTACTGTTCATGTGTATGTTGTAAACACTAAAACTGATTCAGTGAAGATCAGTGGAATAGCCAAAATCAAAGAAGACAAGTCCTGAAATACTTTGCTCCAAAATATTAAACTTGTATAGCCCCTTTAAATGAAAGCTTCCACAAGTACTGAGAACACTGATATTGGATATGGTAGTTTGTATGTCACTTCTGTGTTTTTGTTTTACTATATTACTGAGAATTAAAGCCATCACAAAAATATTGATCATTTTAATAAGTTGACTGGATTTTATTATTGTTTATTAATTGTCTTTGTACAATGTGTTTTGATTTTTATTCTAACATCATCTCCCACATTATTGTAACTGTTGTCAATAAGAAACAAAAAAAAATGTAGGCTTACCATTACCAACTTGCACAACAGAGTAAATAGTGAGTAAAATAGACATATATTATTTTGCAAGAAAAATGCTTAGTTTATTCAGCCTTGCTTATAATAACATAAAACTCATTTCTTTCGCTTAGTACTTCAAACTTGTACATCTTTTAATAACATAATGTTTAAGGACAGTAAGGGAGTTATTTGTCCATCTTGACTGTCTCATCCTCTAAACTAAACAAACATTATCAAATGTATAAATCAAAAAATAAAATAAAAATCATAAAGCCAGCCCTTATCATTCATATAGTTATGAAGCTTTCTCTTAAACACACTTAAATTTACTGCATACATAATATCCAAAGGTAACCCATTTCAACTGTTCAAGATGAGAAATACTGCTTAAATCTTCATAAGTAAAAACTGAAGAAAAAGCAGAATTTAATAACCCAGCCATCTCATAACCATCAGAGACAAGCCTTCCTTTATTGCCCATTCAATGGTCCTACCCTAAACATTTTGTTTACCCTTAATGTACTTAAAGAAATCTTTACTGTTCATTTTTACATTTTCAGCTATCCTTTTTGATGTTTTAATTTCCTGTTTGACCAACTTTCTTGATCTTTTATAATCTTCTAATTCAGTTGTCATATCAGTTAATTTAAATTTCTTAAATTTGTAATGCTTTTCTTTAATTTTATCTCCTGTACCCTTTGTAAGAAAAGCTGGTTTTTTACTTGCAGCCACCCTGTTCTTTTTATAATGAATTTGTTTATCTTGAATATTTAAAAATTTATTATTAAACATTTTCCACGTTTGATCAGTGTCTTCAAATAACTCAGCTGCCCAATTCACAACAGAAAATTCTTGCTGTGTCCTTTCAGAATTAACCTTTTTGAAATTTATAACCAAAATATTATTATTTCTGATCTCCATGTGCAGCAAAACAAACCTAATAGAGCAATCATCACTTGTACCCAGATGTTACCCAATTTCCGCACACTCAACAATTTCTATATTAGAAGTTGACAATTGTTTTTATTAGGTTCCTTGACCAATTGGTGAAGAAAACTATCTTGAACAGTTTAAAAAAAATTTTCTCCCTCATTGTTTGATTGTAGAATTTTCCAAACTATATGCCTGAAATTAAAATCACCCATAATTATGACTTCATTAACAGCTGAAATCTTAATTAGTTTCTCACCAATTTCATCAGTATCATCTGGTGGTCTGTAGCTAATTCCCACCAAAAGTATTTTTTCTTTATGTCCAGTAATAGAAACCCAACTGGATTCAATCTCTTTGCTGTTATCTTTGATATCCTCAACTTCAACAGGATGTAACTCACATTTTACATAAAAGCCACTCCTCCCCTCTTTAGTAGTCTATCCCTACTAAATAACCTACAACCCTGAATTTAAAAGAAATTTCTGTCATCAAAATCATGTACATTTAATTATGTTTCAGTTATTCCCATTATATCAAAATCCCCCATTCCTACCAGTGCTCTACAGTTATCTATTTTATTTCTTAATCTTCTGTCATTACAACAGTAACAATTAAGCCTATCCTTAGAACTACTTCTATACTTATTTCCTATGCTAAACTTTTCTCTACATCTTTTTTTTTTTGATTTAGTTTATCCTAGCCCTCACCACTGTTTAATCCTAGCTTAAATCTTCCCTTACAGCTGAATTAATAGCCCTTGCAAACAAGCCAGATCCTACCCTATTTAAATGTAAATCATTCATTCCAAAAGCTCCCTTTTCCCATTGAACTGATCCCACAAGTCCAACCAGCCAATCTGCTCATTCTTACATATTAAATTAAGTCTAGTATTTAGCCCTAATGACCTACTCATAATTTCATCCCCACAATTAATTCTTGGCAGTATTTCTGAAAATTAAGTTATGGCCTGTTTCTTTGAATGCCTTTATCAACCCCCTGTACTTATTAATTAGCTCCTCTGACCCACCTTTCCCTATGTCAATTAGCTCCTACATGCACAACAAAAACTACATCATTGCTACCCTCCTTTATTATATCTCTTGCTCTGATAGTTATATCCTCCTCCTGTGCCCCTAGGTAGCATAAACTAATTATTTTCTCCCTATTTATCCCACAGAATATCCTATCCACATGCCTTGTCAAGGAATCACCTATAACTATAACCTCCTTATCATCTACATCCTTCTTTGACTCTTTTGTTTTCCTTCCCTCCAATAGTTCCTTGTTCTCACAAGCCAAAGGCAGAAATATGTTGCTCAATAGAATAGGCTCATTACAGTTAAATCCACTACTTTTAGTCCTCTTTCTAACTTCCTGAAATATTTCAGATGGTGATAAAAAATTTCCTAATGTTATAAGCATACATTATTTTTGCCCCATATTTTAATGTGATGACCCAATCCATCAATTTAGCAACTTAACCTACAGATTTGAACTGAAATTTACCAATCTTTCATAGGAAGGATTTATAGGTAGTGTCTTGTGCAATAGTGTGTCTTCAAAATTTATTTGTATTTTCAACACACAGAATCATTAAGTTTAATTAGTTCATCTTGCAATTTTCAATGACGTTTCTTAAAGGTGTGCAGTGAGGGTACCCATCTGTTGAGTGAATGTCAATTTAATCAAAATAAGTATTGTTTTTTTTATATGTGTGTATGTGTTTATAGATTGTTTGTGAGTATGCACATATAACTATGTGCATTGATGTATAAATTTCCATGATTGTAACTAGTCATCTGTTTTGATGTGTCTTTTTGTGTATAACTCAGAGGTTTTATAGAATATGTAAATTCCAAGGCAGAAATGCTTTTTCATTAGTTTTGACTGAATTACAATCAAAAAAATTTGTTTAAACAAATGTGACTTCTGTGTGAATTTTCTTTTTTATGGAAGACCAAATGATTTTGTATTATTTGTTGATTTTATCTCCATCATGTACTATGCACTGGAATTCTAAACTATTGTGAAATTGTGGAAGTTGTGGTTTAGTGCCAAATCATATACTACAGAATTCCAGTTACCAATGTATGAAGGATGTTTGCATAGTGTATTAGAAGTATGATAGTTTAAGCTCTTGTAAAGCTGTAGAACACTTGGCATTTAAGAAATTTTGTGTTCAGTACCAAGTCTAAGAAATAAAAATTGGGTTGTCACAGAAAAATATGACTATCTCATGGCCCTAAGAAGCCCATAGGATATGCCTTGTTTGTGAAAGGAAAAAATGTGGTAGTTTGAATTATTAAAAAAAAAGTGCCTTACTAGTAATAGTTTGTATATTGACCCCTTTAGCTCAGTTTGTAGAGCACTTGCTTGTCATATGAGAGGTCTTGGGTTCATACCTAGCTCAGGAAATTCAAGTAAATACTCATTCCCAACATGTAGCTGTTCCATGACCCTAAGATTAAAACACAAGGACAGCTGTGTTTGTGATCATGAAAGATTGTCATAGTATGAACTATTAAAAAGTTCCTTACAAGCACTTGCTTGGCATGCAAGATGGCCCATGTTTGATTCCAAGCTAGTTGTGCAAAAACTTGAGGTACCACTGAAAAATTGGAGCTTGTAACCATTCCACAACCCTCAGTTAAAACCTGAGGATGAGTCTTATTTGTGAATGAAAGATTGTGGTAGTTTTAGTACCTTACTAGCAACAGTTAGTTACATCTAGCTTAATTGGTAGAGCACTTGCCTGGAATGTCAGTGTCTCAGGCTTGATACCATGCTGAGAAAATAAAAAATAAGGGGGAAAAATTACCACAAAACTAAACTCATTATAACTTCATTTGTATTTATTCACAATTTCAACAATAATTTACTTTTGACCCATTTCTTTCAATTGATACATATTGTACAGTATCAAAATATTTTTATGAAAGTTTTATATTTAATTTTTGACATTGTTTTTTTTAAATGCCTCATTTACACTTAGTCAATGAAATATATTAAATATTTTCCAGTGTTATCAGAAAATGTTTGAAATGGCATCAACACAAGTAATAATATTTTGAGAAATGTTATGAAGGAGTTGAATCTAATATTTATTTCTTTATTTATTGGATGCTAGATTTTGGCTTGAATTGTACTGGATGTTGTTTTTCAGTTATACTAGGTGAATGGTTGTATTAATGCTGAATAAGAATTTTGGGCTGTGCTATACAATGACTTATGGCCATCCCAGGTGGTGTTTGGAACTATTTTAGGAATCTAATTTTTGTTTTTTCCTCCTTATGCTCAGGACTTGGTGGTGGATATAATGAAAGAGAAGATGTTGAATATGTAGAAAGAGAAGAATCAGATGGCGAATATGATGATGTAAGTATATTATGGAACAATTTTATTTTAATGTAACTGATACTTATTTTCTGTGTTTGAAATAATGCTTGTGATTTTTTTATTAATGTAATTTTTGGATCATGAGTTTTAGAGTTGTATCTGTTTATTTCTTGTCAATTTTCTTTGCTAATTTTACACATTTATAGGCATAGTTACTTGTCAAGAATCATTTTTTACATGTATCATTGAGAGATTTGAATTACAGAAATGAAGGGTTGAATGGTTAACAATATTAGTTCTAATTTATTTATTTGTTAGTATGTCATATTTTAAGAGCTGACATAGTTATTGTTGAATTGATATGAATAGTTTGGTCGCAAAAAGAAAAAGTTCCGAGAATTATCTGACAGCGGTGACTCCAAATCACCAAAAAGAAAAGACCCAGTAAAGCCAAAAATGGATAATGAAGATGAGGAGGAGGAGGAAGAGGAGGATGAAGATGTGTCAAAATACAAATTAGACTCAGATGATGTAAAGATATAACTTTTTTTAAATATATCCATGTTATTTTAAGTGATTTTGTCTCCTTTTATATTTATTTCATAGATTTATTTTTTCTTTTTGAACATTTTTATCTTTCTCATTTTCTTCCTTAATTTGTTTTTAGTTTTTTAAGTTTGAGATAGAATCTGTTGATATTCACATATTAGTCTTATAATTATAAAATTTGAAACAGTTTATTATCAGCTCCTTTAACGTTGATTTCAGGCCTCAAGAGATAATAATAAACTGCTTCTAATTTTATAGAAAATGTCATTTGGAATATAATTTTATATTGTTATAACACTTTTCAAAACTCCTGTTGAATACTTTTTCTAAATGTATTTTGCAAGTTATAATATTTGTGTCCTAAAGCTGTATTTTTAGGCAGTGTACTTTCCACAAAGACATTCTGCAGCCATATACATTTTGTGTTGATTTTCAGTTTTTATATAATATGCTTCTGTAATTGTATATAATTGGTCAAGAATGAATGATAAAAACATTTCTTATTGACAAGACATAAGAAATTAAATGTGTGTTAGACTATATCAGTTATAATATTACTAAAATAGTGAATTGTGTACATTGATAAAAATAATATTATGGCAAGACGTTAAATTTTCAGTTTTCTGCCTGACCATGGGTCCAGCTATTTAGAAAACTTACAGGATCTTGCTGAACCAAATAGCAAATTTTATCATAAAATTATACATAATACTGTCCTGCTGAGAAATACATTTTAAAATATTAAATTACATAAATCATTCAGTGTTTGTACATTATGCTTGCACATATACAGTTTTATGGAATTCACATTAAAGGAGTACATGGATAGAATTAGGAACCTTATCAATTACATGGAATTATCTGCTCACACAAAAGGAAACAATATTAAAAGAAAAGCTAAAAGACACTGATATAGCCCAAAAAATAATGCAAAGTTTATTCAAAGTGCATAAAATTTTATAACAGCAGCTTGTTGTAGTTCTAGTTCTGGTGATGTATTTAGTTGCTTATTATTTGTATCCTATCTTCCAAAATTTACAGCAATGATTTGCGCTTCATGTGCTTTTAACATTTTTGAAGACTATTGACTATGTAAATCAACACCTGGGAAAAACTTGACATAAAATATGAGAAAACTACTTCCTTACTTAGTCATATGATATGACAAATCCCTACAGTTCATAATCACAGTTGTATATTAAAATATTATTCTCAAATATGTAATAATTTTTTATTCTGATTTAAGATATGTTCTTTAGTTATACCCTTTTTTTGTGGGTTTGAGTAACTTTTTTCGTATAGTCTTGCAATAGAATACAAGGTATAATTTTTCACTTAACCCATTAACTGCTGCAGGAGCAGCTCAGTTGCCATTTTCTGACTCACAGATAAAACTGAGTTGCCATCGATCACAATAAAACTGTAATTATCGTCATTCGCATAGAGTTATAGTTATATTGTATATGTATGACTGACGGATATTTCCGTCATTTGCAGCTGAGCCATAGAACTTCAATGACGGAAATATCCGTCATCCGCAGCTAATGAGTTAAATTGGCTGGTCCGAGACCCACTCCTTTTAGCCATACTTATTAGTCTAACAGTATCATTAGGATAATAGTGGCTGGCACTTTGTACTACAAAGAAATTTTGTAGTGAAAAGTATGCATTCTGTTTTAGACAAACTCATTGTGCCATCATTATTACTGACATCTTACTGGGGGTTTGAATATTTCACATAAATTGTATAAAATAAATATAATGCTTTATTACCTTAAAAAAACCCTCTCATGTAAATACAGTATTTAAGGTTAATTTTAACCTTAGAGATACATTAAAAACCTTATATTTTTAAAATCAAAATGTTTGTCCTCGTCCAAATGTTTAGAGTTAATACTTTGGAAAATGTATTATATTAACTACGTTGTTTTCTTTTTCAAGGAAATGAAACTTAATTTTGTGTGAAATAATGTTAGCGATTAGTAGGTATTAAATTATCTTCACAGATACATACATTGAGTATACATTTAGTATTTGTTTACTAAACCCTTTCTGGGCTAGTGATCACCTTTCAGATATTGAATATATGCCTACATATCAAATTTCAAAATTTTAATAAAAATGATTTTATAAACTATAATTTTGTACTCAAAAATATTTTAAATTAATATTTTGTCATTTTGTAACATTAATGTAACTAGCACAAATGTCGCCTAACGGGTGTCTGTTTGTGCTAGTGATTACTAATCGTAGTATTCATACTTCATTGAAAACAATTTAGAAATAGTGAATATTTTCTAAAAAAGGATTTTTCTGGGAAGGTACTGCATAGGAAAAGTGTTTGGATTGTGCTTTTATAAACTGTAATGTTTCTATGTATTAAAAGTGGTACCCTTTATCAAAAAAAATGTTTTTTTAAGAACTCTGTTTTTTTTAATACTATATTTATAAATTACATGAATAAAGATATAATCAAACCTTCAAGTACAGTCCCAGTAAAAGTTATGTTGTTGTTGTGAGGAGAGCAATTTTATTTAAAGTTGTGTTCTGTGATAAAGAAATAACTAGTTGTTTTTCTAATTGTCTGAATTTTGAATACCCAAAGGATTTTTGTTTGTGGTAGCATGCATGAGATGGCACCGCATTGTATTTATTATTTTGGTCACATACATAGATAGATACATATATACACACACACACTATGTCCATTATAGTAAGATTCTCAAAAATTTTTTAAATATTCAAATTTACATATTTATGCATCTCCAAGGAGTCTTACATGTAAACAATGCACTTATTGATTTTTAAAATATTTTGGCCCAATCCAAAGCAGAGGATTATATTAGGTAAAATAATATCATCACTTGAGAATATAATTCTCAAGGTTTAACATCTCATGTGGTTTTCTTTCTGTTTCTCTGAATTTTGTTAGTACAGCTTCTCAGATTCCACCATTTTATAACCTCAAAACAGGGGATTGAACAACCACTAATGAAACTCTACTTTCAAAATAGGTACAGGAAAAGTTTAAATATCAGTGGATAAAGCAGATTATAAGTTATTTATGTCAATTCAGTGAATGAATTAGTAGGAGAAGTATCTTATTGTTTCTTTGGAAATAACAGGACCTAGCTTGTGTAGAGAAGAACAGTGAAATGTAGTAGGAAAAGTTGAAGACTTAGAAACAAACCACAAATCTGCGAATGTTTTTCAGTGTATTTAGATGTTATTTTTTGTTCTTGAAAATTTTTTTTTTGTGTTAAGTTTGAAAAGAAATTATATTTATTAAATGTAAGTTGATTTTGACTAAGAAAATTGACTAAATACATTATTATCTAGTCTGATCTATTATCATTTCGAAAGTCAGGTTTTAAGTCATCAAAAAATCTTTATTTATGGTATGTGTTTTTTTATGATTTATAGCCAGAAGTAATGATTATTTCAATCAGCAAGATAAATAAGTTAATGAATATTTGTCAACTGATTTGATATATAGATTCTTAAACGAAAGGTAGTGTTTTTAATGTTTTTGAAAGTTGTATCTCAAAAACATTTTAGAAATTTCACATCATAAAATATGATAAACTAAGTCAAAGTAAACTATATATTAGTTCGTCAAGAAATTAATGTTGCATTTTGAAACACTTTCATTAACCACCCCCAAAGAATATCAAAGAAGTTTATGGAAATATTTTGAACATTTGTAAG